AAGATTTTTTATATTTTAAGACGAGGTGTTAACTAGTTAGATTTTCAACACATGCTCCAAATTGAAGAAGAAGAGAAAATTAGTCCCAAAAAAGAAAAACTTAGAGTACTTGATGCAATTTTTTTATCTGTTGATTTACAAATTTCACAAAACGATAAAGACTGGAGATTTAGCAGATACTCATCCATATTTAGTTGGAGAATCCGAGAGAGAATAAAAGATACTGTCACCTTTTTTAAATTTAATGAAAAAATTATTTTTAACTTTTAGAAATAATTTTTACTTGAAATTTATTCATTTCTTACCTCAATTTATGTTTTTTATGACAATGATTTGAAAAAAGAGTGAAAAATCACATAACGTAAAAATAATATATATATTTCTTCCCTTTTTAGTATAACTTAAGTCACCTAAAACCATATTTTCAGTTTTGCAACAACAGCTTAAGTCGACTTAAGTTTGACGAAAATGCAAAAGTAATTTTTCACAAATCGCCTAAGTCGAGTTATGCTTTGCAAAGTGCTTTTTATAAATTTTGTATAACCGCCTATCTCACTTTTTTCATAATTATGAGAATACTATTAGTTGTTTTACTTCAGATTATAAGTTAATCGCTTCCTTTTTTAATTATCTTTCGATCAAAAAAAAAATTGGCTCAAAAAACTTCATAACTTTTTTCAAAATTAAATTTAAAGTTTAAAATGCATTTATCTCGGAATCACTAAAACAGACTTAAGTCGTTTGTGCTTGAAGCCACTGAATTGTGAGATACAGTATTCCCTCACATAAAATCGCCTCGATTTAGAAAAAAATCGATAAAAACCTGTAAAACTTTTAATGAAATTTCCTCACTTTAAGTCATTTAAACCTCACCAAAAATAATTATATTTTTTATAAATAACCGAAAATTGAATTGAATTGAGTTAATTTTGCTTTCTTACATAAGAAATAGGTGTGAACCTCTCAATAAGTAGCTCTCTTCAAATAGCTCTCATAAATGACTTTGAGTGATGGATTACTGTATTTATTAGTTTCTAAATTTCTCACAGCTAAGTACGACACATGTAAATAAGGAACATAAAGTTTAAGAACAATGTGCTATACACATAGGCATTTACAAGAAATAAAATCAAGAGATCGTTCTACCAAAAACAATAAAGCATACCATTCTAAACCAAATAAATACGCGACAAAATGAGACTCATATAAAAAATCTACAAAATTTCTTTACACATATTGAGTCAGAATCTAAGAGTCATAAATTTGTTTTTTAGTCAAGAAATTCATTTACCGAAGTTCATTTAGTTGCTATCATTTAGTTTATGTTCAGAATTTTAGTCCGACATAACATTTTTTAGTGAATGAAACGTCAATGGTTTAGAAAAGACATGGTAGCAAATAGTGAAGAAAAACAGGAGCTCCCAAGATTTTAATTAAAAACTAATTAAATTTTCATTATGTACGCCGATACATTTTTTAAGCATCTCCTTACGTATATAATTGCACAGAATTAAAAGTGTTCGAAAGAAATACCAATATAAAATAAAAATTCACACAAGCGTACATAACATTAATAACGGCATGTAATAATGGTATTTATTACTTTGCAAAATGTTTCGTTCAAAAAAAAAGCTATTAAAAGTTTTACATAAAATTTTTATTCCAACATCTTTTCTAACTTTTATAATATCATTTCCTACATCAACCTTTTGAATAACTTTTGTAACTATTACTTTTGCAAAAAGTTTTACATTGGCAAACGGGTTATCGTAATTCAACTAAAAATTGTAAACTGCTGAATTTGCGTAGCAATTCATTTTCACTCCTTTTCTGTAATGAAATTTTTTTTTTAAAAAAACAATATGAAAAGCATGACATGCATACATAAGGTTGCGTCAAAGTAGCGAATCTGTCAGTCATATGTACTAGTTGTACAAATAATTGTGCATTTTTACGATAGGACTAAAAATTTAATTATCCTGAGTGTTTACAATTGTTAATAATTTTCAATTTTCCTTATTATTTCATTCCCAAAATAATGTATATTATGTTTGTTTGTGTATGAAAGATCGTAAAAATTATTTATCCTAACAATTATGAAAGCTCATCAAATTCAAACCAAAAAACGTTATAGTTAATGAAAGCGTAATAGTTTGTGTTAGGCACAAAAAGAATGTTATTTAGATTACCAAAGAGTAACCATAAAGTAAACTGACAGCCATAGAATAAACAGAAGACATCCAAAGAACAACATTCGCCTTTTGACATTTTTCTGCAAACTAAGTACTCCACAAATCGAAAATTATAACAGACAAAATATGAAACTATACGGCGTATACATTATACGATAAAAAAATACATATGTGTATGTAATTTATAACCTCTACACAAAGCAACATAAAAATCAGTTAAACCGTTTCAGTCAATCTTAACTGACTGAATTATGTCTTGACAATCTGAGCACAAAATTGTATTTTTGAAATATTTAGTCTTAGCTTACCAATAAAATTTTGAAAATATAAAGTGTAAATTTTCAGTACGTGAAATGTAATTTATGTCCATTATGTAATGGACATATTATGTATGCAAAATTTCATGTTTATATCTTTATTAGTTTTTCAAATATTTATAAAAAAAAATGTGTTGTATGGCATGTACCAGAACGCGCTGACCGAATTGATCTAATTACAATGGTACGTTCTTGGTATTTGTGAAAGTTTGGTGATATTTGCTTTATTCGTTTTTGAGTTGACGGACGACCGACAGACGAACAGACGCACATTTCTAAATCAACGTAGAATTTTACACTGAGCAAGAATATACATGTTCACACCGCAGACAATTCTTTCAAGAGGTTGCAATCACCGTACCGTACCAATGTTAATGTAGCCGAAAGAATATTTTTAGAGTTGTTAAGAAATGTAAAGAAAGCACATTTGAATATTTGAAAACAAAATGTCGATATAACTATATATTGGAAAATAATGTGCTACCACGTAAAAGTTACCTGAAAAATATGAAAAATTGCCAACGGTATAGCAATGAATGGCTTATATTGAAGAATTATAAAGCGGAAATTTCTGTTTTTTTATTATAACCATACGAACGTATGTTCAAAGGGTGTACTAAATTTGCCTTACCGTTCGTAACGCTAAGAAATAATGGTCTGAGATATAAACTCAAGTGTATGTTTTTGACACAAACAAATATATTAGTTTGGTAAAATTCGTTGAAATTGCTTGGCTTTTTCTGGTAGCTGCTAGACAACTTCAATAGTAGTTTGCCCATATCTTAGAAAATATTGAAAACACAGTACTGAAATTTTGCATAAATTAATATAGCAATATGGCAACTTAACATCATAGTATGTCCCTTAGTCAGCAATGGCATATTTACTTGGACATAGGATAACAAACTCGTACGGTTTTTTTTCACGGTAGTTGAACTCTATTTTTTCTCGTTTTAAATTAATATTAATTTTTTTTCAAAAAGGAACCAGAAATAGTAATTGTAACAGACTTAGTTTTAAAGCTTTTTAAGAATTTTTCTGCTTTCAAAAACGTATTTAGATTTTCTCTCAGCTTTTGACATTATAGCAATTTTGACATTATTCTGAAATGGCATTGTTGAAAATTATTTGCGTCGAAATCACAACGCAATGAATTGACATTCTGCAAAAAGATAGCGACTTGTTTCTTCTAATGCCAATTTTCTATTGTAATTTATTTCGTTAGAGTTAAATTTTAGTAATTTATTTCGTTAGAAATCATTTCACTTCCCTTACAAAACATCTCCTAATCGAAGTTATCACAAATTTACCTTTCGGCCCTTCCTTTTTTCCTAACTGTAAGATATCTTGAATTTGTTATAAAGCAAACAACCAATGATAAATAAGCATTAAAAAATATGACTATTTATTTTAACTGACCTAAGCAGCCTTCAAATTCTAACATTATGACGTTTCCTTTAATTTTCGTTCTGATCCTAAAGATATGCAATAATCGTATTTTTAAAAAATATATTCCCTTGTTCGAGAAAAATATTCTACTTTACAAACCATTGGTTTAAATGAATCTATATTAAATGTTTATGCACAATATAAATACATTCACGTAAATAATTTAACAAGAACGTATAATATTATTTAGTTGTTTCACAAATTAAAATTTAAAAGTATACAACAACGAATGTTGTTCAGGCTATTATTTTCTTATTAAATTTTATTTTAAATTGTAAATTGGAATTGGTCACATTTACGTTTTATTAACTGCAAATTACTGAAGAATGGAATTGATTTCGAAAAATGTGTACATGTACACGTACTATCGTAATTATACACAAACACACGTTTATCTTAAAATATTTGCAACAATACTGAAAACAACTCCTTCAATAACAATTACTATAAAAATTAAATGGTTTGTGGTTGTTAAAATTATGTACAATATATGTGTGAGTAGCCTCTATATAAAACATACACAATGTATGTGTGAGTAGTCTCTTGCTTGATTTTAACATGGAAAATAATTTTTGCTGAGTAATCATCAATTTAATATTCAAAACCTAAACCATGACAATTATACTCTATTTCACATAGTTAAAATAATGTAGTCGTTATATTACTTATGAATCGAAAATAACAGTATAATACTTATGTAATTTTCATCCAAGAAAGTCTTAAAAAAAATAAAATTGTTTTCTTCAATTATTTTTTAAGAAGAATTTAGGACTTGAAAAAGAAAAGCCAAAAATTTTTGTAGTTTTTCTTCTTAAATTAGCCAAGGAAGTAAGCCAGGGTCACGCATCCAAATGACATTTATTTCTGTCTTCTGTTGTAATTGTATGGAGAAATTTTAAATTGCCCTGTAATAATACGAGACATCTGCTCGATTATTTTTTGAATTTTATTTCCATTTCTTAAATTTCCTTTTATCAAAAAATCTTCTTCCTTTAAAGAGTAAAAAATTTCAAATGAGAAATGCAGGAAAATAAGAAAAAGAATGATTCTAAACAATAAATTGAGACGTCTGGGAACTTTAAGGAATACGCAACAACCTGCTAAACCGATGAGCATCGAGAACTTAGTAGTTAATAAATCGTCTTACACGTTTAGCACGAAGGAAATGGACCTTCTCAACAAAGGACTAAAATATGCAATCACACCCAAGCGAACTGATAAGGAAGACATCATAGCAGATGTGGAGACAGCCATAAGAGGAGCGGATCATGGAGCCAAGGAGAACATTAGGAAAGAAGTATACAAAATACTAAGAGGAAGCAACAACACCAACAGCAACCTAGATAACAAACCCAAAAGTGAACATTCAACGGTGAAAAGTTTAAATGAAAAACCAGTGTATTACATAAAAGCAGAAAAGGGAAACACTATCGTTATTATGAACAAGGACGATTACGATGAAAAGATCTTAGATAAACTTAATAACGGAAATTTTAGAAAAATTAGGACCAACCCTTTAAAGGAATCAGCAGTGAAGGTTAAGAAAGCTTTAAAGGAGTGTAAGTTTCTGGACTTCAACATCAACGACTTGACGATGCCGAATCCATCAGTTCCGAAACTGGTGTGTCTACCAAAGATTCACAAGGAAGGTGAGCAGTTCAGGGAGATCATTTCCGCTAACGGCGCCCCAACATACAAAATTGCGAAGTGGCTCGTGAAAAGATTTGGGGAAATGGATTTCCGTTCCTGTTCTATCAAGAATAGAGAGGAATTTATAGAAAAAACGAAAGGCTTAAAGATTGGTCCTGATGAATTAATGGTATCGTTCGATGTCAAAGCGCTCTTTCCCAGTGTTCCAGTTAACGAAGCTCTTGAATATTTGAAAGTATGGTTATCAACACAAGAAGGAGAAACAGAAACAGAAAATTGGAACAACAAAGTAAAAGAATACCACAAATTAGCAAGACTTTGCATTGAGGAGAATTACTTCGAATTCACAAACGAGATGTACAGAACAACATCAAGAGTATCGATGGGCAATCCACTTTCACCATTTATCGCAGAATTATTTATGTCCAAATTGGAAAAAAGAATGGAGGAGGATTCTCTGATGCCTAGAGTATGGATGCGGTATGTTGATGACGTCTTCGCGATAGTGGACAAGGAAGAACTGGAGAATATAAACAGATGCATCAACAAATTACATAGAAACATCGAATTTACATTCGAAATTGAGGAAAATGGAGTGGAAATGGAGTTTTTTGGACATATTGGTGAAAAGAAAATCTGAAAAAATTGGATTCAAGATATATAGGAAGAAAACAACAACACAAAGATGCATTCCAAAGGACTCGTACCATTCAACGAAACATAAAATGGCGGCGTTCAACTCTATGATCCATAGAATGCTAACCACACCGATGGACAGACACGACTATAGATCAGAAGTAAACTTCATTTTGGACACGGCTGTGAAGAACGGTTATTCTACTGAACGTATTAACAAACTCATTAGGAAGAAAAAACGAAAAATTGAGCAGGAGAATATGAGCACATTGTTTAAACAGAACAGGATATTGGAAGAACAAAGAATAACATGGGCATCTTTAAGTTATGATCATCACTGTACAAACTTGATAAACAAACAACTAAGGAAACACAATATTCAGACATCGGAAACCAATAGTAAATATCAACTTGAGAGTTTGTTAAATTCGGCTAAGGATAAATTGAAGATACATGAAAGATGCGGTGTGTACAAAATCAATTGTAATAATTGCGATAAATTTTACATAGGACAAACGAAGAGACCCGTTACAACAAGACTTAAGGAACATTTAAGCGAAATAAAACGTGCAAGGAGAGTAGGATTTAACCGGATTTTCAATTCTATGGTTGCAAAACACATTTATGAAACGGATCACACAATCACGGAAGATAACTTAAAGGTATTAAAAGAGGTAAAAGGAAAACACAGGAGAGAAGTTCATGAAAGCATGCAGATATACAAATCAAACAAGGACTGCCTACTAAACACGGACGAAGGTAACGCGGCTACTTGGCTCTTTAAATTAATTATTTGACCAGTTTTAAGGTTTAAAACAGGTATAAATTTAGTTTGTAAATAATAACAAAAAAAAAAAAAAAAAAAATAAAATAAAATAAATAATCAAATTCTAGATTAAGTCAGGTAGATTATATTAAGTCAGGTATAATATTCCTAATTTTAATAGATTTCAATTTTTATTGTTTGTTGTCTTAATTAGAAGAAAATCAGCTTTGATAAAGTGCGTATGTAGCGCACGAAATATATTAGCGAAAAATAAAAGTATTTTATTCCGAATAAAAGGAAGTTTTCTTTTCACACCAATTAAAAAAAAATTCAAATGAGAAATTTTTTGAATCCATTTCCGAGGCTTTATTGTCGCTAATCCTACAATTAATTTTAATTTGTCTAATTATTTTTTTCTTCCATTTGTTGAGGACAAACAGGACGATAATTTAATTCAATATTTTAACACAAGGTATATTTTTATTAGTTGTGTTTATTTCAGAGGAGATACTTACACTTACATATTTGTTTGCACACCATATGACGTTATTAACCTAGTTGACACCAGATTGGTCTTTCGTACGTTTTATCAAAAACGATGAAAAAAATTTTGATATACCACTTTTTTCTGTTTTTTCAAATTGAAGAAAAAATAATTTCATTTTCATAATATTTTCGAATTTTGAATTTACACACAAACATATTTACTTAAATATGAAACAAATCCCTAGAATTAAAACAAAATTTCCGTGTTTTAAATCTAGGGATTCCGTGTAATGAAATTTTTTGTTATTATACAGAAAACTTTGAACCGCAACATTTGCCTGACAAAATGTAAAGAAACATGCCACCACTTTATATTTTGCAACCGTAGAAATATGTTCAATATGAAGCCCAATAGAAAAATATCTTCATTTGCAAGTAATACTTAGGATGAAGAAGATTAAGCCTATACGTGTAAAACTCCTATTATGATTTTATGTTTCAAAATCAAGAAAGTTTCAAAAGTACATCTCCTATTAAAAAGCACATCATAGTAGTTAACACATTAATAGTGATTTTGATGAGCTTCTGATAGACAACTTCTGTCCACAGTTACAATCACAATTTTAATAGAGTTCCATTTAGACTTTTTAGATAAACAAAAATCGATTAAAGTTGGCCAATATTTTTAAATTTAATTCAAATGGAAACCCTTAAATATCTCAATATAAAAAAAATGGACTTACACTACTTTTTAAAAAACCAGCTCTTGATAAATTTTTTCCATAAAACACCTAAAATGTACCAATCAAAATGCATTCATGCATAATTAGGCAAAAATTTTATAGATCCATTGACTTATTAATGAGATGCTTTACTAATGAGTTACAACATGCATGAGAAAGAAAAAGCAGTATATGTAAGTAGATATTATGTATGTAAATTTTTTAAGCTCTTTATACTTCTAATAATTGTAAATGCTACGGATGCTGGTAGAAATAATCTAAAGCAAGATGGCCTTTTTTTCATTCAGTTAAAGTATTTTTCTAGAAAATTTATTTATCCAAAATTTTAATAAATTCATTACTCCTAATATAAGCAGTAAATACAATTATTTTTTGTGGCTAATGTGAGAAAATAAATAGACTTTTTGGATTTAATTGGAAATAATGTTTATCAATTTGTGGTAGGGAATTGTTAATATAAAAAAAAATCTTATGCATTTATTTTTATTCCGCCATTTTTACTTTATTTCATATTCCCTTATCGTTGTCTTAATTTTTCGCAAAAAAAAAAATGTAAGAGTACAATATAATTATTAAATTGGAAATAAAATAGTCTTGAATTATGTACAGGTAATTCGGTTTAATCTGGAATACATTTTGTTTTTGTTTTAACGAAAAAACAAAAAAAACAACAGAACAAATGGAATTAAGGATATAATTAAAATTTATAATTGTATTATACCAAGCATATCATTTAATTGAAATAAATAAATATTTTGGTACATACGTATAGATATCCGCACCATCATTGTATAGGTTTATAATTAGTCTATTTAATTTCATCATTTATCTGAATTTTCGTTGTTTATATATTAAATTTTTATTTACAATATTTTGCACATACACGTCATGTTCATTGTTAATTAATGCAGCCAACTGTACTTTTTTATCATAAAAAAAAAAAAAAAAAAAAAAAAAAAATATAATATTTCTTAAAATAATCTAAAATTAGTATTGTTAATACAAAGTCTTTAAATGTGGTAAAAAGGATATATTGTGATTTAAAACTATACATTTTTTGTTGTAGCAGGTAGTAAAATGTTTTTAAATGATCTGAAAATAATCTAAAAATAATTTGAAGATGCACATGTTTTTTATTTTTATTGCTTAGCCTTATTTTTGAAGATAAGGATAATAAAATAGTAGGTAAACTTGAAATGGCATAAAAGATAAAGAATATTTTGAATATACATACAAAGTTAAAATACAATCAATTTAATATTTGTTATTTATCACATTATAAAAATTTCCAAAATAATAAAAATAAATTTAGTAAGAATTATGTATCTAATTACTATTAAGAAAAAGAGTGGGAGAAATATGTAATATAAATTTTTTGTATATAAACCATAGATTTAAGGAAATAAAGAGTGTTAAAAATTTAGAATACAGAAGACACACTTCTTTTAAATTTTGACAGAGAATTATTATTGTTATTAAACGCAGGAATCCTAGTTTAATACTATAATAATTACTTGTGACGAATTTCAATTTAGAACACGCCAGCTATTTATTTTCGAGACAGAAAGTCATTATTTCATTGAACGTAGGAATCCTAGTTCTTTGTTGTAATAATTATATGTGACAAAATAAAATCAGCGAGTACAGGAGACAATAATTTTTAAGGAAAAAATTATAATACTTTACATGTTTTGGTGACCCCGACGTGATCTGAGTTATACAATCGAAAAAGCATTACACACTCATCATGGAACAAGCAGCTAAAGATCAACTGTTGTTATCAAAGCAAATTAAGACGTTGCAGCAAACGTATTATCAGCTAGCCGAGGAAAGAAGATCGGTTAAGTTGATAAATGAAAGGATCCATAAGTTAGATGACTTGTGGAAATCATTTGAAGAAAAAGATGAGACAATTCGATTGAAGTATGGTACGGAAAAATCTCACTTTTATTTTACCGAAGAGTTATATCAACAAGTCGAATCATTATATACTACATTTCGAGAAGATTTAATGAAGAATGCCGAAGCTAAATCTAAGGGCAGCTTAGGCATTGATGAACCGTCGAATAAGATTGAAGCATTGGATGTAAATGAAGGAAGGGTTCAGTCATCAGATAGTGCTAATACAACAGAAGGAGATGACAACTCCCCAGTAAACGAACAATTACGGATAGCAATCAGAAGCAGTAAAAGAAGCTTGATTTTATTGCAGAGATTTATGGATGAAATCTCATTAAACAATAAAAGCAAAGAATATTACGAAACAAAAATACAAGGTATTGAGAATAGGTGCAGCACCGTTCAACAAGATGATAGAGAAGTATGCTCTAAACATGATGATCCTGATAAGCACGGCTATAATCGTGAGCTAATACATCAAGTATTAAAGAGGGCGCAAGATCTTATGATACAATTAAAAGAAAAAATGAATTCGACAAATAAAAATAAGAATAATGACACATCATTTAACATAAAAAACAAGTTACCAGCTATTACGATACCGACATTCGATGGAGCCTATTCGAATTGGATGCAGTTCAGGGATATATTTACAGAACTGATTCACAAACAAACACTTCCGAATGTAGAGAAGATGTTTTATTTAAAAGCAAACGTTCAGGGTGAAGCAGAAGCCCTAATTCGCCACTTGACAATATGTGAAGATAACTATTTTTTAGCGTGGAAAATCTTGAGCGAAAGATACAACAACAAGAGATTATTAGTATCTACAATAATTGAAAAATTTCTAAATCAACCGAATTTGATTGCTGGGTCAGCTAAATCATTAAAAAATATGTATGATGTAACAAAAGAATGCGTTTTATTATTGGAAAATTGGGGGTTGGAAATTGATGGAAGTTGGGATCCAATAATGTTGCAAATTTTATTAAAAAAGCTCGACAAAGATACGCATTCATACTACGAACAGTCACTGAAAAATCCTAAGGAGTTACAGTCATTACAAGAATTTTTGAAGTTTATCGAGATGAAGTTTCAATCATTAGAGGC